TGTGTGGTTTTGCTGTTGTTGCGGCTGTTAAATGCCAATCAAAAGCTTCCAGCGCACATAGCTTGATATTTTATATTTATGCGAACGCTTCTTGTACTGTACACGCCGCCCTTTGAGCCAGTCGTCAACGCTTAGCTCTGGACAGCGCTGGCAGTTCTGTTAGTTGGCGCATTCGTTTGCTTTCTTTATCACTACATTTTTGCTGGCAGGCGTTGCTTAGACGTGTACATGCTACATGCCGCTTGCGACGCCGCCGCTGTCCCGCACAAACGACGCGTTTGCGCTCTGCTATGCGCCCTGTCAATCTTATCAGTTGCGGTATCATTTATTGTGTGACACTGACAGCTCAGCGTGAAATGGTTTGTTTGCTAGCTCTGCCAGTCTATCCAGACGGTGAGGTAAGAAATCAACGTCGACAATAAAAACAACAACGGCGGCAACTAACACTGCACAACGAAAGTCAGCGCCAACTCCATATTTGTCGTAATTGCAACTGCTCCAACAGACGCCAGCACTCTTGTCTTGTTGCAAAAACAACTACACGCTTGTATTCTAAAAATCAGCCAGCATGTCAATGTCGCCGCATTATTAGTCGGCGCTCGCTGCAATTGTCGCTGGGGATCTCACATTTTCTACGAAGTTTATTACTCCTACTTTGTTGCACGCGTTGCGTCGCGTTGTGCATTTAAGGTTTTTGCGCTAGATGTTGTACGAAGTAACTGACTGCCGCCGGCTCACTTAGCTCGTCGCACCTACCCGCCAGCAGGCGTTTATCTGCACATGCGCGGCACTTCTGCGCTTTGACGCGCTATTTCAGCTGCCGCGACTCTGCTCCCCAGCGTTCAATTATGGCGCTCACTTGCCTTGCTGCAACATTACAAGCGGCGAGTTCATTTGAAAACGACGCCTAGCAATACTACACACACATATCCATACACTAAGCGCGCGTCTGGACATCACTTGAGTCACGACCGTTGCAATCTCATTATGGCAACAATTAGTGAGTGGCTTGGTCGGTGTAACAATTTCATTTACGCCGATCATGGAATTCGTCAAAGAAGTGTCGGGCGCTCGAATTGTTGCCACTAATGGGTTTCAGCGAAATGTTCGCGTTCGAAAGTGTGAAAATACCTTAAATATTTGCAGAAAATACCATGTCTGTATGTATGAGCTGAAATTCAGGAATTTTGCTTTGAGTGTTGGAAATTAAACTTTTTTAATTTATATTTGCTTGTGCGTAATGAAAAATGCTAAAAAAGTTGCAGAGTTCTGTGCAAATAGCCCAGGATGAAGTTGCCAAACACCTTGAGCACCTTGACTTATTGGAATGAACTTTTCCTTTGGTATATTTCATCACGAATATTATTGGCGTTGGTTCAGCAATATCAATAAATCAAAGCAAATAGCAGAAATATGCGAAATCCCAAAAGTTTATTTTAATAATCTAAAAAGCACTTCTCGAATTTCCTCCAGAAAATGTCAGTTTCTATATATACGCTTCAAAGAAATGTAGCAGGCAAAGCTATGCAACATTCTAACGCTATGCAATATAAGCTAGCCAACAAGATCCGTTATGCGTTGGTTGGTATTTTAAATTAAAGCAATTGCAGCTTCTGGCATGCTGCTGTAAACTGAGGCCAACACGCCAATCATCTGGTTCTACCATGCCGTGGCTATGCAAAGCAACAAGAAACGGCAAGGATGACAGCGCGCAAGCCATGCACGCCCTTTAGCTGTTGCGACTATACAAGCGAGACTGGCGCTGATACTCTCACATACATATACAACTTTGCCATGCCATAGCCGGCGCACTTCCACAGCCAAGCACACTTCATAACTCAAAAAGTGGTTGAAGGCGTTGCAATGGCGCCAAGGCGACGCAGCAACACCGAATCTGCTCAAACACGCCACAGCGCAGCGATGTTACTGCTATTCGATAATGCAAAAGAGGCAGCTAAAACTCGAGTCTGCTCCATTTTTTTAAATGCACACACAGCGCTCCGCCGCCAACATCCACCCACTGTCAGCGCGTGCCAAAAGTGTTGCGCCAATGTCATGGCACTGTGTTGCACATTCAAAATTAATTGAAATCGATTGCCTTAAATGGTAAATTTAACGCATGCGTCGCAGCCGTTGGAGCTGGCGGTCAATGTTGGCGCATTTGCTTTTATTTCTCTGCGCGATTTGTCTACTCAGCGCCAGTTTTGTGCATCGACTCAGATTATTGCATAAGTTTGAATTAGCTGCGGCCACAATATTGCAGCATAGGACTACATGATGAATTGCATTCATGCGCGCTGACTTAAGTGGATTAGGCGCGGATAAAGTAGAGTAGTGGAGCTGCGGCTGCAAAGTGCGTGCCACACTGGTGGTACATGTGCGACATTGCCGCTGTGGTCAGTCTATCGTGACGCCAGTTCTTCCGTTCCAATTATTAGCGCGCGCGTTGCTGCCCACTCAATCAACCTCGAATTCAGTGTGCCCCACTCAATGCGCTCACATTGTATGTACGAACGTAGCATCAGCTGTCAGTTTGCCTTAATTTGACATTTGCAATCTCCTTGATTAGTGAGGCATAATTAATCATGTTGCTAATTTACTGTGACAGCATCTTTACTCTTTCCAGCATACTGAACTGTCCTAAAGTTAGTAGCCTTTATTCGTTATCCTACGCACTGTGTCTGCGCTTGTATAACTCACTGCGGTGTAGAAAACTCTATCACTTGTCAATCGGTCATATTATGGTTTAAGTATAAGCTGCGGAAATGGTGGCACTGCTTTGCATTCTTGCGAACTGTAGAGAGCTTCTCATGCTTCTCAGAAGTTCAATATTAGCAATGTATGACTAAAGTTTTTGCTTGAAAAGCATTTCCAAATAATTAAGCCAAGCTTTTGAAAGTAAAGTATTATCCACATAACCGCAATTTGAAGTTAATAGAACTTTGCATTTTTCCATCACTATCTTTTGGAACTCTGAAGCAACCGTTGCCTCACAACTCTAAAATAATATCGCATGAGTTATAGCAATTAGTAATTGGTCATGCATTGAATCAAGAAGCTACAGTAGTGAAAATACCTCGCTGTCTAAGAAATGCTGCAAAATATTACTGTTCTTTCGGTTGCAACAGAAAATGTATATTTTTACTGCTAATTATGAATTTTCGAAAAGCACTCAAGTGTAAATGTTATTAGAAAGTGCTAAGTAGTAAATTACTTGTGGCTACAAGCTTAAAGAATTAATTTAGGTTATATTTATATTTAGGTATGTACATATGGAACTGCTTATATTTTTGAAGAACTAACGGTCTTAATACGAGGGTTGCTTTTATATTTCGGTATTAGCGAACAACAGCAAATGTTAATCATTGAAAATCGCTTTATCACTTTTCAAAATAATCTTCATTAAGTTCTATACGCTTTTGCATGCGTTTGCACCAATTGTCGTAGCACTTTTTCCACACAGATTGAGGTATCTTCAAAGCATGCGTTCTGAACGCATCAACCGCCTCTTCAGTTGTCCAAAAACGTTGATAGTTTTGGTTATATTTTACGTACGGCAATAAAAAAAAGTCATTCGGTGCCAAGTCAGGACTATACGGTGGATGACTCATCAAATCGATGTTTTGAGTGCTCAAAAATGCAGTGGTTTCAGTCGATGTATAAGAACTTGCATTGTCGTGGTAAAGAGTGATCCATCTGCGGCGGTTGGTTTTCCTCCTTTTTTAAACAGACACCTGGCAAACAAATGATTGTGTATGACACAAAATATACTGTTCTGTATTGTTCTGGTAGCATGGCGAAAAACTCTGGTTGAATTCGGTTTATCTGTTAACACCCATACAGTCGACTGCTGTTTACTTTTGGGCTCCAAATAATCCACGCTTTATCACCTGTTGCGATGTCATAGACGCGTTTCAAAGCAACGCTATCGTATTTTTTTACCATTTCTCTGAACCAATCGACACGAGCCTTTATTTTTGAGCGATTGACAAATTGTGTTGAATCCAACATGCGCAATTTTTTTACAGTAAAATTTTCATGCAATATTGGCAATATTGAATGTGTGCTGATCCCACAAATGCCTATAGTTGTCTCAATCTCACGATAGGCAACAGAACAACGACTGATTTTGGTCCACCGCCACGAAATTCGTTTTGGAGTGATCTACGACATCGATTGAATTCAACATACCATCGATAAATGTTGGTCTTTGTTGAAGTTTCATTACCAAAATTTTAAATAAGTTCATAAGTTGTGAAAGATAATCGCGTTAAAATTTTCGTGATTTAATTCCATTTTTTGTCCGAGTTGAACATTTTAAGTTACTGTTAACAACACAAATAGCGACCGTATGTCAAAACGTTCTGAGTATGTATGGCATCAAAAATGTCAAACTTTATGATAAAGTTGTGAGTGGTTAGATTGCAACGCTAGGGTTGCCAAATTTCGAAATTTTAAAGGCAACCTGAGTAATGCAATGAAAAAACTAAAGAGTGTTTCTTAGAGCTGTAGAATTTCCTGCCGCAATTGCGCTCAAATCAGCTGTCAAAGTGAACGGTTATGTTTGACATTTGTATTCAGTATGACCATGGAAATGCTTACGAAAATGTTTAATAATCTTGAAAATTTAGCAGAGTGGTGTCGCTGTGGTTCATATATTTTAAACTATTGACTGGCTGAGTAGACTTTATTACACTAGTAGAGCAAATACTTCGAAGCTCTTAGGTAAGGTGGCGCTGCCTTGGCTATATTCATAAAATCAGTACTTTAATATAAAAATGTCATGTGACACCTGCTATTTATGAAGCTTTAATATTATATTATACAGTTAGACACTTCTAGCTTGTGCCTTGTAGAACATTCTTTGGCACTGCAACAGCTTACTGCTTGTTTAAAGCCCTAAAGTGCTAAAATTGATGTATCGCTTGTTTTTATCAAACTTACCTGCTCAAAATCGTTTAAACTATGTTAAAAGACAGCGTTGTATTTACATACATATATTTCTGTTAACTCGATATAAGTATTTTATTTAAAATTTTACTCTTTTCATACATTGTCACAGTATAAAAGATTCGTATTGACAAGTCGGCGAATTACTTACAAATACACAATTTCATCACTTACATGCTTACCATTAATACTTAAAGAAAAACACACAAATATACGAGTATGGAAGCGCTTATTGTAATACATAAGTAAATATTAAGAGACTTGCTTAACACTAAACATACAGTTACTGCTCTTACTTTCACGTTATTGTTATTATTTTTGTAATTATTATTATTATCGTTTATTTACATGTAATTGCTAGCAATTAAAAGTAGACTTAAACTTACGTAAGTGCATTGGTACTTAAGCTAAAAATCGAAAATCAAAATTTAATGCTTTCAACTAATTTAAGCTGCGCAAAAAATTTATTGAAAGCCACCACAAAAATGCGTGTATTTCTTTCGTTATACTTCAAGTGCACCGCACTCGAATACTGCGCATGCTCACTGCGCATTTGGCGGCGCTGCATAAGCCTACTTATGCGCGGCAGCGAGATGCGAGGCATACAAGACACAAATAAAAAAACGTGATTGTTATTAAAATGCCAACAAAGCACATGTCTGAGCTGTTGTTTGGCGAGTGTATTTAGAAATTGGCAATCAAAATAAAAACCGAAAGCACTTCATTCAACAGTTCTTCGGCTTACAGTTGCTTTTTCCTTTGTACAGTTTTGTTTGCCTTCGACTGTCGGCCGTCGACTTACGCAACGTATCACTTTCACTGCGGCGCGTACGGCAGCAGTTGATGCTTAAGCTGAGCGTTTAGCGGAGCATATCTCGTGCAACGCCTAGGCGCTTGTTTCAATTTTTTTTTTGTTTCTGCTCTCAACGCCCTTCAGCCTATCGCGCCGCCATGCGTTTATCCTAAGCTTCTCGTTCCGCGCGCCGCTGTAATAACACGAACTCACTCTGCAATGAGCGTTTATTAATTAATCGCCCATCACTAATTGGATGGCGCGTTGAAAATCGCGTGCAAATTGTGGAAATATGAAGTGAGCGTAATTTCATTTCTAAAACTGTGTTTTGTTAACTTCCTTATATGAAGATGTTGTGCCGCTAATGTTCTCTAGCTTATAATTATACAATACGAAGTAATTCTAGCATTAATTGCGCTTAATGTGCTATGAGTGTTCGTTTCTTAAATCGCTTAGTTTATTTTTTATGCCTGTGGTCGCTTATGAAATACGGCTTAAGTTTTTACAAACCAATTGTTTGTTTTCATAAATCTATTATCGTAACGCTTTCGCTTCCTCATTTATGCTTACTCATATATTTTTCCTTTCGTTTTTGCTTAAGCGCTTAAGTACAACTAAGCTTAAGTAATACTTATATAAAATACACTCCCTGGGAGCAAATGTGCACGTGTGGAGTTCTTACAACTTTAGGTGTTGGACTTATGTGCTATAAAATTGATTTTCATATAATTCTAACTTAATAAAAAATAAAATTTATTTTCAGTTTGTAACTTAGCTTAGCGTTTCGTATTGCATTAAGTTATACTTTTATACTTTGAGTTGCTCAGTGCTCGACTGTCGCGCGGCTTTTTGTCACCACTACCAGCAGTCAATGTCATCTTTCTCAATTCACTTGTGTCGCTGTGAATTTTTAAACGTTCGCATGGAGTTCGTTGCTTGTGCCTAATACATCATGCCCGGATGTACGGCACCGCCGCGTTGGAAGTACACGTTCGGATTACTGCTTAGTGTTGGTTCCAACGTCGTGTAAAGATTGGTCTCATCGGGTCGTATAAATAAACCTGCCGAATAGATGGATAAAGCAAAATGAAAATAATGTTAGAAGAAAATGCTGTAAAGTAAGTTTGTTATGGAAAAAAGACGTGAGAGTACAAGCTAGTGAGAAGCTTAGAAATCAACTTTTATATGCAAATAGTTATGTGAGATATTTGGAAAGTATTTTAAATCTTTAAATGAAAATTTTTTCTCAGTCTTTTACTATGCTATTAGATCAGCAAGTGAAAAGTGTTGGGCTAGAGGTACCAGTGCTTTGAGCTACTTCTTGCTTGTTGCCTTATAAGGAATTTACATTTATATTCTTAAAATTAATGCAGAGAATACTGAGTCTGAGGAAAATAACGAAAATTTATAATCTCAGATTATCAAAATTCAAGCGAAGAATGTCTAATAAAATCTTTATTAGAAGTAAATTTTTTGCGCTTATTTAGACAAGAAATCATAAATTTTAGAAGCTTTTCATATAAAACTTAATTTCATTTAGTTTTTTTATTATTTATATTGAAATCGCATGCAATCAAGCCAACACATATAAATATATATAAACATTTGTACATTATTATTACATAATGACGTATGTGTATTGAATAAGAGTTAAGTTTGGTATATAATGAAGCATTAAATACAAACCTTACCTGGATACCGGAGTGTCTGTGCGATATGTGCTTGTGTCATTGACGATAGGGAGTTGCCCAATTGTTTGAGTGTCGGTGGTGAGGGCAATTGTGTCAACGTTGGCGGTGGAATTGGTGGTGGCGGTGGTGGTGGGGGTGGTTGTGGATAAAAACAAAACGGGTGCGCTGATAAATGTGCTGGAAAATAGTGATACATACGTGTGTAGCTCGGTGGTGCAGCGGTGACCAAGGCAACGCGATCTGCACGTTGCGTTTTTTCATTGTACAATATCCAATTATTTATTTATAATTTTATTTATTTTTCAATTACGTAACGTTACACCAAAGCATACGGGTTATTGTTTTTGTTGTTGTTTTTTGGATTTTATACAAAATATTTATGATTAGACACCAGAAAAAACATAAATTCCAACGAAATGACACCGTCCCAACAAACACCGGGTATTTTTTGTTTTTGTTTATGTTTAAAAATTTATTTATATTTTTTTTTTTGCAGTTTAATTGTATTCGTGGTGGGTAGACGCGCGCAACCAAACAACCAAAGCAATTTGCGGGGTGTGGTGGTAAAAAAACATATGAAAAAACAAAAGAATAAACACACAAACATAAATATTTATACACAATTTGATTGATGTATTTGTTGTGAAGGAAAATTAGTGGATTTTTATGTACAAATGCATGTTGGTTTTTTGTTTTTTTTCAAAATGATTTTTGTTTTTGTTAATGCGTTTGCGGTTTGTGTTAACCACGTGGAAGTGATAAAAGCGTAATTAAACAAATTTGAAAGTGTTTTTTAATTAATTTTTTTTTGTTTAAATTTATGGCATGCATTTATGATGGTGGTTTTGATTTATTTTATTATTATGAGTGTTTGGTTTAATTATTAGCGTGTTTTGTTATGATTTTTCAATGAATATTTTTAACGAGTTTTCGTTTAACAATTTTGATAATTTTTTAAATGATTGCAAACATTTTTTTATCAACATTTTATTATCATTGACATGTGTCGTTTTAATTAAAGTTACATGATTTTATGTTTTTGTTGTTGGTGTGGTGCACATGAAACCAGTGAACAATGATTGTAGGGTGATTGATGTTGATGGTGTTGGTATTGGTGGCAAAATGAGTGGTGTGAATGAAATTATGTAAATAAAATGAAATAAAAATTTTTGATGAACAATTTACAAATGCAAAGATAAATGATTATTGATTTTATAAAGATAATTACTTAAAAATATATGTGTAAAAAATTACTAAGCGCTGGGTATGGAGACTCAGCACAGCAGTTTGCTAAGTTTTTTTTTCGTTTACTATATGCTTAATTAATGCCGGTTTGCTTTTGCTTTTTGTTGTTTGTCTTAATATCTCTTGAGCTGATGGCACTAAGAATTGGCTAACAAGCGTTAAATAAACAGCAAAATAGTATTGGATCGTTCAACCGTTTGCGCTGCTTTAGCTATCATAAGTAGGAAGCGTCAAATCGAATGCGCATTACTTGTCTTCATTATACTTTTGTTGCTTGTAAATGCAAATTTAAATAATTACGAAATTATAGCATAACATAATAATTAATTAAAAGTTGTTTCTATTGCATAATCGTCTTTTTTAACACTACTAATTCGTGCCTTAAACCTGACTCTGCGGCACAACGCTTAAGCCTTAAGGTCAAGCCTTACTCATACATGTGCAACATTTGACATATTTTCAGCCACTTCTGTTTATATAGATATGTAAGTGCGCGCGTGCGCTTCGCGGGCAACACTTATTGCAAAATTGTCACGCAAGTTCGTTGCCTAAGTCTTTTGACTGCCATTCGGTAGTAGCCAAGGAATTTCAAGCAGCAAAACTTGAAATAGATTAAGCTGCGAACATAATTTCATTTTAATTAAATGCCACAGCTTAACAGGCACTCTGCAGCACGCTGAGCCAACTAATTCTTTCAGTTAAGCAGCCACTTAGTAAGGCCGCTGCTAAACTATGTGTAATATGCGCTGTTACACCCACTCTAACCCCCTCGAAACGTTGTGTATGCCACGCAGAAAAACGCCTGCGCGCTGTTATTGTAACTAGAAGCGTTCGCAGTGAAATCAGCGCTTGCTGAGCGCAGTGAAATTGGGTTAATGGTGCGGTACAGACTCGCGCACACTGCCACACTGAACGTGTTTGTTGTTTTAGCGCAGAAAAAGTGAATGAACCACGTCAAATGTTTGTTCTCGAATATAGCCAAACGCTGATTAATTAGTTATTTATTTCTTTGCTCTTAATAGCAATGAGTTTACGAGCTTTCTTGGAGGTGGAAAGTGCTAACAAGAGCAAACAAATAAGAGCGCACTAATTGCTCGTGGTCGAATGCAAGCGTTTATGGACTTTTTAGTTCAATGGAACGCGGCTGGCAAGGTTGACGAAGATTAATAGTGCGTTTGATGGCGTCAAATGTAGCGATATGGAAAATGGATAAAAGTGTTAAAAGCTCGTTAAATGGGCAGAACGACGGCTGAAGAAGGGTCACTTTCTTTTTTGCGCACAACTGTGACGCTTTGATTTTCAGGCAATTGTTTTCAATGCACCATGAAAATTAAGCGAATTCTAATCAGAAAATGTTGATATTTGTGAAACTATCTTCACACACCACTACTCACACACAAGTTAAACAAGCAATCGTTGTCTTGATTTCTACATGACATTGGCAGCAGTTGAGTTTAGAGTCTTTTTCATAACATATTTTAATCAACTCAAGACCATTAATCTTTGTAGATCAGTTGTGCACATGAAATACTAAACTAAATCTTAACAAGCTCGAAGCTTCTTCTGCGCTTCCTCAATTTAAGTGTAGCGCTTAAGTTTGTAGCAGCTAGCCGTGTCGATTGGTTAATACTGATTTATGAATTGATTAAATATTTATTTGAGACTTGTATTACCTTGTGGCGCCAAAGCGTTTTTCGAATTTGTGGGAAAATATTTGTGTTCATAAATGTTTGCTCAACTCGGTAGTAAGTTATTTATGTGTATGTGTATTAACCATGTGTATGCTTAAGATTTTAAGAATGTATGCTTGGATACATTTTTTAATTTTTTATTTTTGATAGCTGTCAACCTTGCACAAAACATGTTTAATTGACGCGCATTAAGGGGTTACATGCGCTTCACGGCTTCATAAAAAAAAAATTTTTTTATATTGTCTTATTTAATGCTATAACATCTTTATAATATTGTTCTAAATTCTCAAGTTGATATCAGAAATAGTTTTAAAGATACCGCTTTGAAAAGTTGCGCGCTCGAGGTCAGCTATATGGTCACGTAAAATCACTTAAAACTTTGAACGCGTTTTTCTTGAAACTGGCTTTCCACAATACATTGCGTAACTACTGTATATCGTGGAATTTTTACTCAAGGCAACGAACAGCGTATTTAAAATTTCTAACCAAATTTCTAATACATCCGAATCTCAGGTTTTCCAATAAAAAAATATAATAGCTTTCAAACTCTATAAAGTCTAAATTTGAAATATAAACTTCTGCTCATATAACAGTGTCTCCTTGTGCGCTACTACACACGTTCCAATGCAAGCCGCTGACTCTTTTCAAACTAACCACAATGCGCACACTATTTCTTGACTGTGAAATAATTATTTAAATGGCGCCAATTTATTTGGGTCACATGTGTCCATATCCAAGCGTTTATGTGTTTGCGATGAAAATGAGTTTTTAATTTTCCGAAAATTATTTACGCATAAACTCAACACCTTGCACCTTAACTTGGCCGCACCGTCGGCGGCGTGTGTTAATTGTTATGAGCAAATAATGACTTGTACTAATAGGCGCCTACAGCAAGCTGTAAATACATAATTGCCTTTGTTGCAGTTGTTGTAATTGTTGTTGGTGTTGCGCAGCTACAGCCGCAAATGTCATTGTCGGCAAAGTGCAAAATGCCAAAGGCCACTGCAGTGAAATTTTGTAATTTACATTAAATTGTGTTAATGGCACATTTATCGGGCGCTAACAAACCGACACAAATACAAATACACAGGTAAGCATGCGCATGTGCTCATATATACCTAGAGCTCACATATACACACTCGTACATATCTAGCACGGAGACGACTTGTGTTAAGCCGCGCTAGACGCGATTAAGAACATTGCTGCCGCGTGCCTTCGTTGTGAGTTTTGCAGTTGCCACACACTGCCACTTTTCTCTGAAATCCGTTGTTTTTCACGTTGTTACTTTGAAGCAGTCATTAGCACCTCTTTACGGCATGCAAGCGCCGTGCGTCATGACTATATGCGCGCGGCACACTTACACAGTCACAAGCAGGCATATTTGTGTGGCAGCTTACGTGTTGATTGGCTGGCGTTGGCGAGTGACTACCCACCACAAGCCGCAAATGCAATTAAGCACAGTTTTCCTTAGACATGATCCAAGCAACGCTGCTTGCACATGCACACATACACTTAAAAAAAAAAAAAAAAAACAAAAAAAAAGCCAGCGCTAGCACATTTCTGTGTGTGTGTGTGTCACTTAAGCGCTGCTAATGCCAATGCTACCACATAACTAAACTCTACGCTTTCCATTGTGCATTTTCCTGCAGCATGCTTCAACATACGGTAGCCACAGCGCTTGCAACGCCTGCAGCCGCATGTTTGGCAGCTCCGTTGATTGCTGGCGAATGTGGAATTATGTGTCAGAAAATGAAAATGCAACGCCGTCGGCCTGCTGACCGCGCGACATACATACAACACACTCCACACATACTGGCCAGCGATGTAAGCGCAAGCGCTTATTCACACATGCAGACATGCATAAGCATGCATATATGTGCTTTGTGTATTATTTGTATTTGTTGCGAACTAGTTTCGAGCACTCAATGCTCAATGTTGCACGCTGCTGCCTTGGCGCTTTTATTTTGATTGCTTCATTCCTATTCGCGCATATGCCACAAATTGTTTGTGGCAGTCGTTAGCGTTTGTAATACGTTATGTCAGTGCGGAAAACCAGATTTATATTTTGTGGGTCAAAAATGCTTATGGAATTCGAATGGGTGCAGAAAAACGTGTAATTCAATGACATAACAGAAGACTTGAACATCAAACTTGACATATGAGCACGCACAGCTTCGGCTGATCAAAAAACGATCAAAAAAAAAACGAAATAAAGCGAAATGAAAAGCAAAGCAAATATATTTTGATTGAAATTCCGGTAAAACTCAAGCGCTTGCAATAATAAGTAATCGATTTAGCTTTGCC